ATGGTTAGGTGTTCGCGCACAATACCGAAGGTCCCAGGTTTGAATCCTCCGAGGGGCAGGAGTCGTGGTTGCGCACTGCCACTGATGAGTCCCATACCAGAACGAAACGGCAGTCCAGTGCTTCCAGGTTTCTAATGGTGGTCTAACAATGATTGATTAATGATTTCAAATGTGTAAAAACACAAATCTTCAAAACTCTAACCGAAAAAAAATTGGGGAGTCAAGAAGTACCAAACTAACTGTGCGTATATATAGATAAAATTAATTTGTACTACTCAGATTCCCTTCAAGGTAGATTGATCTAATAACGGCAGATTTGTGTGAACTCTGTTAAAATTATAATAATTGAATATTTATATCAAAAATGTTTGAATTGCTAACAAGTAATTAGTTATTGTGAAAGAGGGCGAGAGAACGAGAGAGAGAGAGCTATCCAACCATAATGTTTAATTTATTGGTTTGATTTGATGATTGTGTGTTTCACCTTTTTGTGCGCATAACTTTTCCCCGTTTCTTTAAGACTAAACAAAAAAAGTTGTATTCAAGTGACAATTAGAGATTATTTAATTCCTCTCATCATTTTACACACATGACCTGCTTTTTTAATTGTTAGCAAACAAGTATTTGTAATATTCGAAATGAAAACTGTAGTCTATTGTTAAACACACTTGCACACACACACACACACACAAATCTGATAAATATTTTGGAAATTCACGAAACAAGAGAACTGAATCAACATTGATCATTGTGATGTTGTAAAATTTACATCAATTAATAATAGCATAACACAGGAAATCCTGTAAATCTGTCTCGTTGGATTACAAGAAAAATTACATGGACTTATATTTCACGAAAATATAGATTGAATAAAGAAATTTTTTATTTTTTAACTTGTAAAAGAAAAAAGTAATTAAAAGTACAAATATAATTAATTTGTTTTTTTGGTTGTTATTGAGTGTCTGTTTTTCAAGTCTATCAGAATTTCAAGTGTTTCACATAGGTTTTCTCCTTTCAAATTAATTTTCAATGGTCATTTTTATCAATAAGTTAGTCGCGGAACTCATATAAATGAAAAATCAGACACTAGAGTTGTAATCAAAAAAATAAATCGATATTATTCTCATTAACTATGTTCACATCAAATTGAAACTTCAAAACCTTTATGTATAAAATGATTCGTTGTAAGAAACAATATTGATTCAGACATTTCAACAGATTACTTTTAAGTTTCATCGAACATTTTTTTAAAATAATTTATAACTGTTGGGGATGTTAGATCCCCGAAATTCGCTTGATAAATGCATTATTTTGGATTTCACGTTTGCCAGCATGGGCTGATCAGTTGGCCTTGAGATTTCGTTTCCCACCAGGAAAATCCATGGCTGTGATTGGCTGCTGTGTATTTTAGTGTGCTATTTTCGTAACTGTCCCAAGGACGTTTCTCTGATATATGAATAAACGAGAGTTGTGTACTTGATTGTATTGTGATTGCTGAGTGTTGTAGAATATACTTTCTACGCTTACCGTTTGGATTCGAGGTAGCCTACCTTGACGCTGGTAGTTGTCTCGTTCGCGTTTATCGACTAAGATAAACCCGTAATAGCCTCAAGCATACTAAGTGACGAACCCAATAGTAGCTGACTCTAGAAATTGAAGATATTTAGTTGACTGTGTTGGCTTGCTTTAGATATAAATAAGTTGAGATGCTGAAGATATAAGTAGGGCATAGGCCTGTCTGTTGACTTTACGAAAGTTTAGTGAGAATAATCTCTCACAGAGACATAACTTAGACAATTACATCAACGGTTATAATTACTATTTTTTTCACTATATAATATACAAAATGAATACGATTCTGTATACCGTTTTACTACGTATATTCGCAGTTACAAATGTAATTGACTTTTTCTCTACCAACTAATCGAATTTACACAAAAAAAGCAATCTAGTAATTGGTTAGAAATTGTCAATGACAAACCTAAAGCTTAGGATTTGTGCTAGTCGACACATGTCAGCATAGTGTATGGGCAGTATGCAAAGAATTGATGTTTTCTATTGTGTTAGAACCGACGTCATCAGCTTTGCAGTGTTGATATCACTAAACATTTTTTAAGCCTCAATAAAGCTCCTATAGGACAACAGATGAGGAGTAATAGTTTCACCAAGATTACAGGTAACCATACTGAAAAGTTAAAACTAGTGTGAAACCCAGATTGAGGCTACTCTGCCAATTTCCTTTAATCACGGAAAATTCCAGAGCAGGTTGGAATGATATCAAAAAGGCTGTGGAAACAGCAGTGATATCTGCTAGTAAGGTAACCATAAGGCTAGGATGAAGCCGTGGATTTCAGTCGCATCCACCGAACTGATGGATGCTCGAAAAACTCATCCCACCTGACTCTGAACATGATGAAGAGCGTAGTCAGCTTAGGCGCAGACTTATAAAAAGCCTACGTAACGACCGTGAACAGTGGTGGGTGGCGAAAGCAAAAGCGATGGAAAAGGCAGCGGCGATAGGCAACACTAGACAACTTTTCCGCCTTATCAAAGAAACCGGTATTAGGAACCCGAATGTGAGTGAGACTATCTCGGAAAAGGATGGTCTTATTATCCATTCTCAATCTAGGAGACTGGACCGATGGGCAGAACACTTTAGGGATCAGTTCAACTGGCCTCAGCCACTCTTCGGTTGCCCACGATCTCCAGTCATCCTGAATGGCAAATCGATTTAAGTCCTCCCAGTTTACATGAAGTTGAGAAAGCTATAGGAAATCTAAAGCGAAGTAGAGCAGCAGGTCCTGATAGGCTTACCTTCGAGATGTTTAAGGATGGTGGTCCAGTTTTAACAGTTAGACTGACCGAGATCCTAGGTAGAATCTGGGAACTGGACGTAATCCCATCTGACTGGTCTCAGTCGCTAATTGTCCCAATCTACAAGAAAGGACAAAAGTCCTCTTGTGACAATCACAGGGGAATAAGTCTAACTAATATAGTTTCTAAATTGTTAGCCTCGATTATACTTTAACTAGAGCTCGTGAAAGAGCAGACTAGAGAAAACCAGTCGGGTTTTCGACCTGGTCGTGGTTGTATAGACCACATTTTCACACTCAGACAGGTCCTGAAACACGGGCACACATTTAGACGTCCGACAATAGTAGTTTTCCTGGACCCTAAAGCTGCATTGCACTCAGTGGATCGTGAGGTTCTGTGGCAGTGTCTGTCATTGAAATGTGTACCGAAGAAGTACAATAACCATATACAACCCCTCTACTCTAACACCACTGGTCGAGTGAGAGCTTATGGCGAGCTGTCATCTGAATTCTTTACTTCAAGTGGTGTCCGTCAGGGATGTCCCCCCTCTCCTTTCTTGTTTAACTTCGTCGTAGACATCATCTCAGAGTTAACATTAAGCTCGTCAGATTTTTCAGGGGCGGACCTTCTACCAGGAAAATCACTTACTGACTTAGAGTATGCCGATGACATAGTTCTATTCGGTGAAGACGCTGACAAAATGCAGAGTCTTCTGACTACCATAAGCAACAATGCAAGCATGTTCGGGATGCGGTTCTCACCCTCGAAATGCAAAATGTTGCTTCAAAATTGGGTTGCATCGGTACCTGAACTAGTGATAGGGAGTGAAGTAGTCGAACGTGTAGACCGCTTCACTTATCTTAGGAGTCTCAACAGTGCTGATAGCCTGGTGACTGACGAAATCTCAGCTCGGATACAGAAGGCTCGATCGGCTTTGCCAGCCTGCGTCACTTATGGCGTAGGCGAGATATTCGTTTGCTGACTAAAGGTTGAGTGTACTGTACAGCAGTTCGCTCCGCAATACTATATGGATTCGGAACCTGACCAGTGAGAGTAGAAGATATTCGTAGGTTACTAGTATTCGATCACAGTTGGGACAACCGAGTAAGCAGTGCTGCCATTAGGAAACGAGTACTAGGTAAGGATGGCAGATCAATACATGAAGTGGTGAACCTTCATCAGTTGAGGAGGTTGGGACATGTGCTGCCTAGGTCGAATCACCGACTGCCTCGACGAGCTATGTTTTATGGTGTTGGAGTAGGTTAGAAGAAAGTTAGGGGCGGCCAAACCGGAACATGGCAGAAATCCATGAAGTCACTGACAAGTGGATTGAGTCATGTCGGTAGATGTAGGCTACCTAGTTGGGGTGCGCTAGACGAAAGTAACCAATAGTTAGAGACCTTGAACGATATGGCTCAAAATAGTTCGCAATGGCGCAAGTGCATCCATTCGTTGTGTTCTCTCCAAATCCTAATCTTCTTGATTCCGTCAGCACCCCTACCTTTGTCTTTCTAACCTTATTCCCTTAATTATACTTCTTGAATAATATCTTCAAACCCTGGGTCTTCTCATTATCAGGAAGTACCCTCTACTATCTTTATACTATTGGATTTGAATGGACAGTTGCGTCCTCTGTGCTAATGTGGTATATGTCAACACTGAACTTATGTACATGCTGCAAATAACTGACTACCTTTTAATTCACGGAAAATTCCAATATAATACATCCAATGTCAAGGATTATTGTATTGCATGCCTTAATTCCCTTTGGAAGTAGCTTTCTTTGACTTTAGCAATTTGTCTGTTTCCGCTTTTGTGCTTATTTATTTTCATTTGTCCGATTTCTAATAAACATCATCATAATTTAAGATTTGGTTCAGCAATTATTATTTTTTATCTACTATTATACTCTTCTGGTTTCAATATCTTCGGTCAATTCATCAATACTCGCCTTATTTGTGTTATTTGTCTGAATGATAAATTTTTCAAATAAAACAACTCCAACTATCTCAATCATAACAGACTATTATTATTATTATTATTATTATTATTACGGTTGGACATGGGGTTGGCGACCCCATTCCATCAAAAACTAACTTTCCAAAAAAACGCTAACCAGAAATTATTATTGGTATCATAGACTAGAAAGTCTATTAAAAAAAGAACTTGAATTTGGTTGCACTAACCTAATCAAATCTATTATGTAACTAACTATGATATAAACATAAAAATCATTTTTATGGTTGGATGATTCATTCAAATTTGGGATTTCTTTTTGTTTGCTAGAAAAAAGAAAAAAATTTTTGGGTTTAAAATATAAAAACCAGACAGATCTAGAAAAAAAAAATTGGGGGACAAATAGTCGATTGGATTGTGATTATTCACTTAAGATTATTTTATTTTTATTTTACGTACGAAAATTCCTACAGTCTCTACAAGCATCACCATATGCTAATAACAATCATCTCCTCAATAGTGACTCGTTATGATAGGAATTTCCTAGTGTTCTAATGAGAAAAACTTGAATAAGAACAGTTTAATCATGATGAGAGTGAGATAATTTTCCACAGAATTGTTGGGGACGTTAGATAACCAGAACTTACTTGGAAAAGGTCCTCATTTTGGACTGTCTTATGTTTTTCGGGCTTAAGCTGCTTAGTTGACCTTCAGTTTACATTTCCCTACTCGAAAAACACCTGGCTATCATTTCGTCAATAGAATTATTCATAGTACACGATGTTTTCGTGGCTCTCCCTAAGGATGTTTCTATCATGTATAAATAAGCCTCGATTTGTATGCTTGTAGAATACACTTCCCTAAGCCTTACCCAAGACTCTTGATATAGTTAGGCGGGCCGAAAACAAACATATTAGAATAGCCTATCACGTCACTGTATCATTTTGCTTCGCTCCGTTTACTGAGTAAGGTGAACTCGTAATAGTTCAAGCATATCCAATTTAGAGAGCTGGAGACGAGTTCAAACTAGGGCATTTTAATCATGATGAGAGTGAGATAATTTTCCACAGAATTGTTGGGGACGTTAGATAACCAGAACTTACTTGGAAAAGGTCCTCATTTTGAGTCTTTTTATGTTTTCGTGCACAAGTTGCTTCGTTGACCTTCAACTTACACTTTCCCACTTGGAAATCCCTTGACTATCACTGATTGATGCATTATTTTAGTACGCAATTGTGTGCTCTCCCAAGGACGTTTCTATCATGTATAGATAGGCTCGATTATGTGATTGTAGATTACACTTTCTACGCCCTATCAAGACTTCTTGATATAGTTAGCAGGGCCAGGAAAAAAACGGATTAGAATAGCCTAAATCATTTGTCTTCTCTCCGTTGACCGAGTAAGGTGACAGTTCAAGCATATCAGTTGACGAGCTAGAGACAAGTTCAACTAGGGCACTTCAATCATGATGAGAGTGAGACAGTTTTTCACCGAATGAAATGAAAGATGATCGAGAAATACTAGGAATTGATTGAAATTAGACAAGTACATCATTAGATAACGACTCAGTAATCTACATGTTAAGTGTGCGTGTGTGAGACCGAATGTTCATGATTTGAATGTTGATGATAATGTGATGAATGTTGATTGTTGATGAGTTGCATATTAGAAAGAAGCAAGTGTCTTGTGCTTTACTGTTTCTAGTGATTAATTAAATATTTATTTTCTTGAAGATTCCATTTAATTCGAAAGCAATTTTCATTATGAAATATCAGAAAGCTCTTGTCTGTATTCAATTTAAAATTTTACCAGTCTTTCCTGAAAATCACCGGAACTATATTTAAAAATTTTACTGTGAATCAGTCGATACCTGTTAAATTTATATACTTAAGAATAAAGCAGTGACTGACTAGATTAAGATGGTATTTACCATAAATTGACTTTAATTAAAATATGGGTGTTGTTGTTGTTTTTTTCAAATTTAACATCTAAATGGTATCAATATCTAAATGTTCAGGATTCAATCCTGTACGAAACCATATCTGAACACGACTGATAGATAGGTCTCAAACAAAAACAAGTATTTTTTTAATATTTTCTAAACACTAATAGCACTGTAGTTGATGTCAATTCATGTGGAAATCTCTCTTGAGAAATTAAATTCACCATTGATGATGATAAGTGCATTTTACTCACAAAAAAAAATTTCTCAAAAGCTCTTAAAGTAAAAAAGAATCATCTGTTTCATTGAATGCATTGATGAAATTCATTTAAAAATTAGATTGTTTAACAGTTTGATTTATTGTCTATTATGTGACAAATGCTCGTCACTCTTTAACAAATTACATCTATATATATACTGACAATTCAGTCTGATGGATGAAGTCATCACGTAAATGTTTTATTAATTAATTAATTTTCAAATCATTTAAACAGTTTTTTTCTATTGATGAATGGAACATCGTTTAAATGAATTAATCACACATACAAACTTACATGTATACAAATCCACTACATAATATAACATGTAGCCAAGGTAGAAAGCAACGAAATACAATGAATTAATCGTATATTCTTCATATATCATCATTCTTATTAAAATTACATGTTTACGTTAACTAGTAAACATGATCAAATCACATTTTGAGCACATTATCAGTTTAGTTACTTATTTTTGCTATTACAACCTGACACAGATTGTTACTAAACAATGTGAAACACATTTTTCTTCTCTTGACACTTCAAGTTAAAATACTGAATACTACATTCTCATCTACATTTAATTTATGTTAAGGTATAATCTTCAACTTGTGTATTCAGTGAATTTCTGCTTCAATTTGAGATACACTGTCTCCCTTGATCACTACTTTCATCTAGAAATTCAGGGAAACTAATGACAGTTTGCATTACGGGGTTGTGAAGATTGTTAAGTTACACATTTTTGAAACCATGAGTCGATCAATGTTAGACCACCATTAGAAACCTGGAAGCACTGGACGGCCGTTTCGTCCTGGTATGGGACTCCTCAGCAGTGCGCATCCACGACTCCTGCACCCCGCAGGATTCGAACCCAGGACCTTCAGTATTGTGCGCGAACGCCTTAACCGTTAGACCACTGAGCTGGTATCCAACGCTGTTAATGTCTAACTTGATCAAATTCACGGAGTTGCGCAACGTCATACACAGTTTGGTTGATTTTGTTAAACTTCAAATATATTTTCCCTCATCCTTATGCTTATTGTTCATTAAATGAAAATTCAGTTTTCTATTTTAATTTCTGTATCAATTACACATACTTGAAAGAAGCTATACATACACACTACACATTTGTTTATATCGATTATCATAGTTTAGTGAAAAATGTAATATTACCCAATGAATTATACAAGAGTGTATGCACTATTTATCATTCATCATTGAAGTTCTAGACAAAAACATATTGATTATCGTTTATCAAATAATTTACAAGTAATAAAATTCCCTAACTATGGCTATTTAGCCATTCTAATGTAACATTGAACATTGAAACCAAATATAGTTTGTCCAATAAATTCTCTTTTTCATTGTGTTTATTTGTGCACAATTCAAACGACACAATCTACAACAACTGATGAATATATATTTAGATAGGAAATTAATTATCTTTTGACGATTTAACTAAAAAAGATTTTTTTTTCTTTAAGGAAAAAATAAGTAAATAAATTAAAGGACAGGAAATAAATAAATTATGAATTAGTAGTGAATTACATTCGGAAATTATGTACGTTTTTCTTTCTATCTCTTTCACATTTAATTGTTCCTTTGTAAACTTTAATTTGTTCATTAATAAATAAAAAAAAAAACAGAAAGACGAAACACTGTTCATTCGTTGAAAATATTGAATTCCATTCATTTCCTTCACTCTTCACGCTCATACCAGATGTTTTGATTAGAAAAAAATAAATAATAATAACAAGTGATTTTTAATGTAATTTATTTTTAAAAATTATTTGAATATTTCAATGTCGAAGTTTCAAATTGAAATTATTTTTGTCTCTTTTATTATATATACGATTCTGAGATCATTACTTTGATAATTCAATTAAGTTATAAACATTTTAGACAAAGTTTTGACTAAGGTCTAACTTAAGGGTAGTATCGGTTGTAAGATCTATTTTTTTTTGAAAGCTTTGTTTGTGAAAATCCATCCATGTATACATTTGTAATTTGTCCTTATTGATTCCTTCAGTTGTACATTTGGTTAATTTGTTCGATTTCATTTTGAGATGGAAATATTTTTATTTTATTATAGTTTCTTTTTCATTGCCTTCGCTGAGTTTCTATGTTTCTTTCTGAGTTGCATTTATGTTGTTTAAGCTGATACTTAGTCATGGCGACAGCCGTATTGATTTGTATCTCCTTTGTCTGAGTTACTTGCTTTAACTGTAATTGTGTATTTTGATTGTGAATTGAAGCACCCTTCCAAAATAAGAAGTAAGCTGTGTTATAAAGCGACCAAATATTATCTTTTGAAAGAATCTGATCTATCCAGAAAGGATAGAATAACATTTATTTGTGGCTGTTCATTAGATTAATTGAACAGTCGTTAGTGGAAAGGCTGAGTGGTAATATTTATTTAGGTAATTATGTATATTTATATTTGTGATAAATATTAGAACTACATAGACAGTTATTCCTCAGTCCAAACTTCAATTTGGATCCTACATCGATGTTATCCACTCGAAATCAGTGATGTCACAAAAGACTAACTAATTGCAGTAGTTAACGTTAGCAACAATACAATTCAAATAATTTTTTAAAAACGACTAAAAATTCACTCTGTTACACAATCCTGCATCTATTTGAACTCATTAGCTAACTGGATAAACATTCAGATATTTGAAACAAAATGGACTAGATTTCAATAGCAGTGTGATCAACACTGAGGTATATGTGAGTCCAACTGATAAGTTCTGAGTAGGACGAACTGTGCATCTCAGTCTCAAATGTCAATCAAAATCCAACTTGACATATTTTTGGAAATGAAGTTGATAAAAAATTCAACATAAACATGTATCGACAAGTAGTAGTAAAAATATTGTAATTAATTATCATCTATAAAAAGTTCTAGAATGTTGATTAGAATAATAACAAAAAGGTTCTAAAGTTCGAATTAATCGGTTACGTCATAAACGAACAGAAAAAGAAGTTAATAGTAAGTAATTAAATGATAAAATGAAGCAAATCTGGTTAATTAGAAAGATTAAAAAAATTATTGTCTAAAAATAAAAAAAAAAGTTTTCAAAAACAATATCATCAAAATTAAAAAAATTAGATTATAATGAAA